GAATCTCGCGCATAGCGGAACTTGGTATTCGGGCTGCCCTTTACGCTATATAGTTGATTGTCCTGCGTCAACCAATTTACGAACTTTTTCTCGACAATTGATTAATGGCGCAATTTCCGTCATATGTTTCGGTGAACTTTAATGAAAATATGGGATTACAAATCATATATATATGTATATATATTTGTCATGATTGCCACTAGTGCTAACATAAGTAGCATATGAATTAATAATATGCAGAGTCGTGACACAAAGCCAACAGTATGCTTATATATAAATACTAAATAAACTATATATGTGCATGATTAATATATGACAACAACGTATCATTCCATTTCCATACAGATAGCTATCGAAGGGAGGGCTATAGCTACGTGGATTATATTGGCTTCATGCATGCATTATTGCTTGGTTTTCAAGAACATCGCTATATATACACTTCAGAGAATCTAACTTTTTCCCAGGAAACTGATTATTAACTAGGTAATAGCACTTTGAAAGCTCTTCTTAACCTACCAACCCTTTCTGTTCTTATGATAGAGCTTCCCTACAATTCAAGAGGCGGATTCTAAATTTGAAGTTTATTATAAGTTCCTATAATAATCTTAAATTAATACCTACAATATTATAAATAATTGTGTTTATAGTCAAATATTTATAGCAGAGATACATGTACCATCAGGGGCATACCTTGTTGCATGTGGTGTCACGGGACACCACTTCTTCGAAAATATTTGTTAGATATGTATAAAAAAAATAAAAATATTGAAGATAAATATAAAAAATAACACCGCTTATCATTATTGTGTTAGTTAATTCATTTTCAAATTGTGCCACTGCTTATAAAATATCCTAAATATGCAACTGTGTACCACGGACATGAAAAAATCAGTTTAACCTTTCATTTTCGACATAAAATGCACAAGTAAATTGTAAATAAGAAATTACTAACAAATATTAAATTCTGAACATAAGCAATGAGTTCGGTCTTAACCGCGCTATATTCCTTATTTCTCCTTAGAGGAGAGAGATGGAACCATTAAGGACTTTATGCGATAACATAACTTCAGAATTCTCCGATATAAAATTTAAATGAGCACAGTGATATGTATATAGCAGCCGCAATTTTCCAGTGAATTACTCTTGTTTTTATTCATACATTATTGAATGGGGCCATTTAATCCAAAGTAAATGAAACTTGAGCAACAAAAGAAGAAGTTTTCTGAGAAATGTGACGTTTTCCAGAGACAAAAGCATTAAATAATACAATCACTGCACTTTAAATGTTGCCACGCATTTTCTAATTTATATGTTGTTTTTTTAGGTGTAGAGACAAATATTTCATCTGTATCATATATATCTATCACATATACTGTTTTGCTGCCTCTTTGATGTGTGATTCTATCCAACTTCTTCTACACAAGAAAAGTCTGCAGAAAAATCCCAGTTCATTAATATAATACTCTCAAGCATTGTTTTCTACATTGCAAAAATATTTAACCATATTAATGCTTGTTAGTCTAACTAAGCATAAAATAAGGTAATTAAATACACTAATTATTGCACGTGTAACTTATATTAACTGGCACTGTAAACAGAATTATATTATCAATGTTGTTTAACTTGCAATAGCAAGTAAATTTAATTTACTATTTTTATCGTTACAAATTACAATGTTTATCATAGAAATTTCATGATCGATTACCTACAAAATGATCCAAATGTAATACTCTTTTTCTTACTCTTCAGAAAACTATATTTCATCTTATATATATATATATATATATATATATATATATATATATATATAGTGATTGGAGGATAAGTGTGTGAAATGTTCGTCCATCTATTAATTTCCAGATGTCACCTATAGCATTCAATCATGTAATATTCTTTAAAAAATGAAGAATTTGGACCCCCATTATTAGTCAAATCAGTATATATAGTTCAAGAAGGCAAGTTATGGCAAATGATTGCCGCCATCACCACCAGTAATTAGACACTGTGTTGTCCAGTCTTTCTGAAAATATCATTTGATACGTATGATTCTTCAAAAATAGTATTTTATCATTTTGAAAAGTCCCTGCAACAACATAAATTAGACGTTAACAGATATTTCATGAGCTCATATTAAGCTATGTGATTGCTTCTTCCTTTTCTGAGAAGTGCGAAAACAAGGAAAATTATTTGAAGAATTGATTGAGAACAAGTTTATAGCCGCCACGCCAATAATTTTTTTATACGATGACAGTATAAATGAAATTTTGCACTATCAAATTACCGAGCTAAAAGATGATTACTACAAGCAACCGTACATAATAAGTAGGTCGGAATTAGTAGCCTAAAGAATAAGATAGATTATGTGGTACAACACTTAAAAAAAGTATGTATGAAGTTTGAAACTTTAGACCCACTATATATTTTTGACTTCAGTTTCGCGAGTCTGAATTTGATCCTTAGACAGTTAAACTTTACAAAATTTCTAAATTTGGGCTAATCTTTAAACAACGGTCCTCCAAGTGGCTATTTGTGTACTGCCCCATAAATTGATGGAGTTACATATTTGGGCGGTCGGCCAAAATAATTATATCCACTAGCCAATATGCAAAAACTTATTAACCAGCTATGTATAAAAATATGTATATTTCTTGAATATTACACATTAATTTATAATAAATATATATTTTGCGACTATTACTTTTTAGCAACTATATTGTGTAACGTTCCCTTGATGGAGTATTATGGGAGAAATTCAAAAATAGCCAGATTTACAAGTGGTCATTCAAAAATAGCCATAGTTTCAAAAGTAATCGAAATTTAGCCACTTTTTATGTAAAGATAAATCTGAACGAAAACACTGTTCAAAATCCGAAAAATACTCCAGCATAATATACTGGTGTTCCAGCATATTATAATGGAGATCTATCATAAGTATACTGGAACTCCAGCATACTATAATGGAGTTCCAGCATAAGTATACTGGAACTCCAGCATAATATACTGGAGTTCCAGTATAATATATCGGTCCAGTATAATATGCTGGAAGTTCATACGCATGTGCTCCAATCTCCAGTATATTATGCTGGAACTTTTTGCGTGTTGGAGTTCCAGCATAATATGCTGGAAGTTCATACACAAGTGCACCGATCTCCAGTATATTATGCTGGATCGGTGCCTATTGTAGCAAAATAGTGGTTATTTTTCAATAACTTTGCATACGCTAGCTATTTTTGAATGGCCAGTCCGAAAACTGGCTAGCTCGTGCTATTTTAACGAGTATTATATTGGTGAGTGGGCTTATCCAACCCATTTTTGATTAAAAGGGCTTATATTAATAAGAGACACTCTCAGAAACCACTATGTTTTAGTGGATATTAGCTAGTTGTAGCTACTGTTTACTATATTACTTCCTATAGCTGTGTTTTCAGGGTTTTTTTAGAGTGTATTCGATGTATTTAAGCTACTGTATTTATGAATACAATAGCATTTTTAGGCATGAAATAGGGAATTACAGCTAGACAGATTTTTGAATTCGATTGTATTCACGGCGTGAAACAGGGGATTACAGCTAGACAGATTATTGTATTCGACTGTATTCACGATATGTATTTGTGACTACAGTAACGTAAATAGCGCAATTCATGGTCTATTCAGCTATTTTTAAACGCAAAGTGAATCAATTAATATAATAGACTCCTAATATAACTCAACAAACTCAATTATAACACATAAAATTTGTATTTCCAGTTATAAAAAAGATTCTCAACCGAAAAACACCCCAAAAACATAGCAATCTTCAGAGAAAATATGCTGAATATTTTTTCTAGCCGATAAATACAACAAAAACAAAGCTATTGAATACATATATACATCTGAATACATAAATTATATTAATTAAAAAAATATATAAATACATTTATGGAATACAACGAGACAATGAATACAATAAAATACATGGAATACAACGAGATACTTTGAAATACAATGGAAAAAAAGACAATGAATACAATGAAATACATGTAAATACATCAAGATACATTGAAATATATTAACAGAAAATTCAAGTTGCTCAGCCCCAAACTCTGTCATCTTTGTTCAAGAACAAACCCTAATGTTTATTTCGCTCAATTCACATGTCCGTTTCTAGGCCAACAACACTATCATTTGATCTATAGGCAGATAACATATCAGTAAAGTCATTTTCTCTAAAGGAGTGGAAATCTCATCAAGATCTAAGCAGTGAAAAGGTGAATGAATAAAAAATTCCCTATTTTCAATAGCAGATTATCTTCAAAAGGAAATACAGGTTTGGAAAGGATAATAGCAGTACTGCTCGTGTTGATTGAGAACACTGTAAAGAAATGGGGATGCTGTTTCGCCACTTCTTCCTCAAATAAAAACTATAATTTACAAACTTCAATTGAGACAGAAAAATAGCCTCTAGATTGTTGATTCCATAAAACTGAAGAGAAGACAAAAAAGGAGAAATTTCCTAGCATTTCATAGGCTAAGCAACGTCTTTATACTCTTCGTTATAAAAGTGAAACTTATTAGCATCCAAATGGAGCAGGGTGGCAAATCAACGGCCATCAGAACGGGGTGGATCTTTCTCTCTAGGGTTTGATTTCGACATTGATTCATAGCCCTAACCCACTGACAATGAAAATTTCGTGAGACAATGGAGATGAATCAGTGGAGAATAGTGGTTGTATTCGTGGAGAAAGACTGGCGTTGAGAGAGAGATGGTGGAGAAAAATCTGAAAGAATGAGAAAGAAAAATAATACAAAGAGTATTTTATGGCTTAAGGGTAGGAGGTAATCATAAATAGATATTTGGCTATAAAAATCAAAAGGTAGCTATGAAATATAATTTTTTTAAAAGAATATTTATTTAAAACAAATAAGGTATCAACCTTTGCTAATAAAAATTCCTATTAATAATGCACAAATCCTAAATGGGCCTAAGCCCATATAAATGCAAAGTAGTGAGTCCAGATCCAGATACAGAAAAACCTAGTACTATATCATCTTCTCGAAAACCCTAATACTCACTCGACATCACGCACAATTAGCCTCACTCTTCGCCCCTGGTCAGCTGCTTCCTCAAATCGTCGAAAATGGTACGTATTCACTCTTCACACAGTTATGCATTTCCGTGCTCTGAGATTTTATGTTGAGATTTGTAAAAATGTGTTGGATTTTGCTTTCTGTAGCCGTTCAAGAGGTTCGTGGAAATCGGAAGAGTCGCCCTTGTCAACTACGGGGAGGACTATGGGAATCTCGTTGTTATCGTCGATGTCATTGACCAAAATAGGGTAAATTTGCTTCCCTGAGCAATTGTTATACTCTAATAGTTTCTCGGTAATCAAATCTACATATTAAACTCCGTGTTCAGCTGACATTCATGAAAAATGAAATAGAGTACTTTGGAACCGTTTGCCATGCCTTCTGGCAAGGACAAAAAGGATATTGTATAATATTAGTACTTTGTTATTATCTATTGAGCTGATTTGTTTTTCTTAGTTAGATATGCTTAAGGCCTATGATAGAACATGATAATAGGCCTACATTGTCTGATCATATAAAACATGATTGAGCAACATGATCTGAGGCCTTCCTCTAAAATTTCCACAAAGTAGTTTTTATTTGTTTAGATGGTAGTTTTTGAAATTAGCAGCTCCATAAGTCATTTGCAGATGTTGAATATTGGGCTTTTCTTAAGAAAGTTGTATATCCGCTTGCCTGTTTTATTAGGTTTTTAGTTAGCGAGTTTATTTATTGATAGGTTCTGCTGTGCTCTTTTTTCAAGTTTGGATTTGTTCTGTGGATTATTCTCATCTGTGCCTTATAGAGTAGAATAAAGTGTGGAGAGTTATTTGTTCTGCCTTGTGGAACTCTCCATGAATGGTCTTGACTGCAATGTCAGTTATTCCCTTTAGTTAACAGAAAGTTACGATGACAAAGATAATTTGACTTTCCTCAACTGAACTATTTTTTCGGTTGAAAATATTCCTCGAGGAAACTGCACAAAGGACTATATTATTGCGTCAAGGGACACATTACCTTCTTCTAGGATCTTTGTGCTTTCTTTATACTTCCTTTGTTGTTTTTGCATTGTAGCTAATTGATAGGTTTTTGCTTATGTTTCATTCCCTTTATATCTCCTTTTAATACAATGAACAAAAAGTGAAAACAAATGATAGATAGGCTGATATGTTCTGGTAGATCGAAAGCAATCCAAAAGGCTATGTGACTTCCTAGTTGACTTTATTAGATTAAGCTTGATGGTAGGTAGTTACTTAATTGACTGTTGAAAATGAAGAACTTTTTTAACTAATTTTTGGTAATGACTCCATATCTTTTCTCAATTGATAGGCGCTTGTTGATGCTCCTGGCATGGTGAGGAGCCAGATTAACTTTAAGAGGCTTTCACTCACAGATATCAAAATTGACATCAAAAGGATTCCAAAGAAGAAGACCCTCGTTGCTGCTATGGAGGCTGCTGGTAAGTACAGTGCTCAAGAGATTTTCTTTTCGTTTTAAAAGATGTAGATTAGCAATTGATGTTAGCAGCTAGTTTTACGAAGATTGACCTCTCATTTGATTTTCGTTCTCCCAGACGTGAAGAGCAAATGGGAGAGCAGTTCCTGGGGAAGAAAGTTGATAGTTCAGAAGAGGAGGGCATCGCTTAATGATTTTGACAGGTTCAAGCTCATGCTGGCAAAGATAAAGGTCCGATTATGTCTTTCACTTAGCTTCATTTTGCTCGACTCATTCAATCTACCAATCTCTTATCACCACTCTTGGGTAAGCAGGATAAGAGTGATATTGTTTGCCTGAAAAAGTCAGAAAAAGGTGTCATCATTAAATTGAAAAAGCAAAATGATAATATCTTGCCCAAAACTTTGTATTATGGACCAATATTCCTTTCTCAACTGTACTTGATCGAGTTAAATGGCATACCTGAAAAAACTGTTGATCATGTGGCTAGTTAGAATTTAGCTGGCTCCCGTAATCCCCTTTATGTTTGCATGATATTAGTAAGGTCTCATTTGTATTTGATATCAAGGCTGATACATTTGTTTTGACATTGCAGAAGGCTGGAGTTGTAAGGCAGGAGCTTGCTAAGCTTAAGAAGGAGGCTGCTTAGGAACTCTTTGATTAGTGAGATTTGTATGATAGGAGTTTTGAAAGTTGTTTGTGTTTTGCTTTTAGATTTTGGTTCATTACTGGTAAGTCTTTTGGTTTTATTTGAATTATGATGGTGAACATCCTCTTCCCAAAGTTTCAAGGATTACCTTCGCAGACACTTTCATATTGTCACTCAGTATGTTTTGGTTTCATGCTAGTGATCTCACTCGAGTGATGAATCATTTTAGGTAATGAGAATTTGCTCAAAAATTTTATTACTAACATTTTGCTTGGGGATTTTTTCTCGATAGAAACTTTTTATTCTGTCTGAAAATATGATTCCATCTGCCACACTGCCACTGAAGGATTTTCCTGTACAAGTGTCGTATAAAAGCTTGCATAATGATTCATGCATCACGAAAAATAACTGACGTTGCCTGTCTTCATGCATTAGCTAATCTAGTTGGACAAGTCGAGTCCTTGAGGAATTTAATATTTTTGTCATTTCAGAATCCTTTTACGCTAATGCGCAAACGTTCTGCCTCTTTACTGTTTGTACTTCCAGTATTACTATTTGGAATATGATTTCCACAAATTACAAACTTCGGACTGATACTAGAGATCTATTGGTCTTGAAAAGAACATATATTTGATTTGTGGAGGGTCGAATTCTAAAAGTTTAACCAAACAGAGAGATCAAGACCTCCTGCAAACTCTACATTGACTCATTTCTATCACAATGTAAAAGAAGCAAGAAGGGAAAAGGATGAGGAGAAAACTCAACTAGACACGCAAGATACTAGCTATTCTTTTCCTTTATTTAGCTGAGGGAAAACACAAGAGAAAGAGCAAAGAATTTGGCCTTCCTTTGGGGAGACTGGCAATCTTCAAAGGATATGCATGTTCCTGATTTCCAAACCCAGGTTCAAGAACAAGTGTGAAAATGCACGTGTAACATAATCCAAGGCAATTGCAAAATCTTTCTCATAGCTAAATATTAATCATCACACCCACTTGCGCAATCCGACCTTCAAATATTCCAAGGCTGGCCTAAAAAGATGCATTCAAACCCCCAGAAAAGAATTCCTCCACTAAACATTCGAATAAGGAATAAGGTAAAAGTTACATCAATTCGTACAACAATATTTATCAAGCTACCCGTCCCACGCATATATATAAAACTCTTGCACTTGACCCAACATTTCTTTGGATGAGTCTAAATGAGCTATGGGTCGCCAGGAACTCTATTAAGAACAAAAACAAGGAATATGAGAAGTTGGATCAGCTTCAATTGTCACATAGAAGGTAAAACATTTCCAATTTACAGCACTTGAGACATCCTTAAATAGGATTGCATGTTCAAACAATCAGGAAATTTTCTGTTTACAAGTGCATCCCCTTACTTTCTGATAGAAAGAAACTCAAAGCTCCGAAGAGGGTTATCATGGGTACCCTTTGTGACTGATGTTCGGGAGAATGATGATGGCTTTGGTTCGATTCCCTGCTGAATTCTCTGTGTGGTAGATAGACGGCCAGTGCTCGACACTAATCTGCTTGAGCGACTATCTGTGGGTTCACCAGAAGAGGTCGGTCTGCTGCTTGAAATGACGGCCCTTCTTGAAGAGCTGCCATTTCTCGAGGTACGGCCTCTTTCTGAATCAGCTTGCTACAAATAAGAGTAGAAGATTACTAGTTTAGCATGCATCTCAATGCTGCAAATTTTCTATCACATAAAATGCAGAAATATATCTAGGATTCAGAATTATCAAGTCATTGCATTAACAAAAAGGAATAAGCATCTACAGAACAGCACAAAACCCTCCTATCCGATTGAAAGAAAATGGATTTCTCTTTTTTTTTTTGGGGTGGGGGGTGGGGG